CCCAGCGACCAACTCGATTCCCAGCCCGGCGACCGACTCGATTCCCAGCCCTGCGACCGACTCGATTCCCAGCCCAGCGACCAACTCGATTCCCAGCCCGGCGACCGACTCGATGCCCAGCGACCAACTCGATTCCCAGCCCGGCGACCGACTCGATTCCCAGCCCGGCGACCGACTCGATGCCCAGCGACCAACTCGATTCCCAGCCCGGCGACCAACTCGATTCCCAGCCTGGCGACCGACTCGATTCCCAGCCCGGCGACCGACTCGATTCCCAGCCCGGCGACCGACTCGATGCCCAGCGACCAACTCGATTCCCAGCCCAGCGACCGACTCGATTCCCCCAGCCCAGCGACCGACTCGATTCCCAGCCCGGCGACCGACTCGATTCCCAGCCCGGCGACCGTCTCGATTCCCCGACCGACTCGATGCCCAGCGACCAACTCGATTCCCAGCCCGGCGACAACGACCGACTCGATGCCCAGCGACCAACTCGATTCCCAGCCCGGCGACCAACTCGATTCCCAGCCCGGCGACCAACTCGATTCCCAGCCCGGCGACCAACTCGATTCCCAGCCCGGTGACCGATCAATGCCCAGCGACCAACTCGATTCCCAGCCCAGCGACCGACTCGATTCCCAGCCCAGCGACCAACTCGATTCCCAGCCCGGTGACCGACTCGATTCCCAGCCCAGCGACCAACTCGATTCCCAGCCCGGCGACCAACTCGATTCCCAGCCCGGCGACCAACTCGATTCCCAGCCCAGCGACCCGACTCGATTCCCAGCCCAGCGACCGACTCGATTTCCCAGCCCGGCGACCGACTCGATTCCCAGCCCAGCGACCAACTCGATTCCCAGCCCGGCGACCGACTCGATTCCCAGCCCAGCGACCAACTCGATTCCCAGCCCGGCGACCGACTCGATTCCCAGCCCTGCGACGACCGACTCGATTCCCAGCCCAGCGAAGCGACCAACTCGATTCCCAGCCCGGCGACCGACTCGATTCCCAGCCCGGCGACCAACTCGATTCCCAGCCCGGCGACCGACTCGATCGATTCCCAGCCCGGCGACCGACTCGATGCCCAGCGACCAACTCGATTCCCAGCCCGGCGACCAACTCGATTCCCAGCCCGGCGACCGACTCGATTCCCAGCCCGGCGACCGACTCGATTCCCAGCCCGGCGACCAACTCGATTCCCAGCCCAGCGACCAACTCGATTCCCAGCCCGGCGACCGACTCGATGCCCAGCGACCAACTCGATTCCCAGCCCAGCGACCAACTCGATTCCCAGCCCGGCGACCAACTCGATTCCCAGCCCGGCGACCGACTCGATTCCCAGCCCGGCGACCGACTCGATTCCCAGCCCAGCGACCAACTCGATTCCCAGCCCGCGACCAACTCGATTCCCAGCCCAGCGACCAACTCGATTCCCAGCCCGGCGACCGACTCGATGCCCAGCGACCGACTCGATTCCCAGCCCCAGCGACCAACTCGATTCCCAGCCCAGCGACCAACTCGATTCCCAGCCCGGCGACCAACTCGATTCCCAGCCCGGCGACCGACTCGATGCCCAGCGACCAACTCGATTCCAGCCCAGCGACCGACTCGATTCCCAGCCCAGCGACCGACTCGATTCCCAGCCCGGCGACCAACTCGATTCCCAGCCCGCGACCGACTCGATTCCCAGCGACCAACTCGATTCCCACCCGGCGACCGACTCGATTGCCCAGCAGGCGACCAACTCGATTCCCAGCCCGGCGACCGACTCGATGCCCAGCCCGGACCAACTCGATTCCCAGCCCGGCGACCGACTCGATGCAGCCCGGCGACCAACTCGATTCCCAGCCCAGCGACTCGACCGACTCGATTCCCAGCCAGCGACCGAACTCGATTCCCCAGCCCGGCGACCAACTCGATTCCCAGCCAGCGACCAACTCGATTCCCAGCCCAGCGACCGACTCGATTCCCAGCCCCAGACTCGATGCCCAACCGACTCGATTCCCAGCCCAGCGACCAACTCGATTCCCAGCCCGGCGACCAACTCGATTCCCAGCCCAGCGACCAACTCGATTCCCAGCCCGGCGACCGACCGATGCCCAGCGACCAACTCGATTCCCAGCCCGCGACCAACTCGATTCCCAGCCCAGCGACCGACTCGATTCCCAGCCCAGCGACTGACTCGATTCCCAGCCCGGCGACGACCGACTCCCATGCCCAGCGACCAACTCGATTCCCAGCCCGCGACCGCGACTCGATTCCCAGCCCGGCGACCGACTCGATGCCCAGCGACCAACTCGATTCCCCAGCCCAGCGAACCAACTCGATTCCCCAGCCCGGTCAGGGCTCGATGCCCAGCGACCAACTCGATTCCCAGCCCAACGACCAACTCGATTCCCAGCCCGGCGACCAACTCGATTCCCAGCCCGGCGACCGACTCGATTCCCAGCCCAGCGACCGACTCGATTCCCAGTCCCTGGCGACCGACTCGATTCCCAGCCCGGCGACCGACTCGATGCCCAGCGACCAACTCGATTCCCAGCCCACACCAACTCGATGCCCAGCCCAGTCCAACTCGATTCCCAGCCCAGCGACCAACTCGATTCCCAGCCCGGTGACCGACTCGATTCCCAGCCCGGCGACCGACTCATGCCCAACGACCCAACTCGATTCCCAGCCCGGGTGACCGACTCGATTCCCAGCCCGGCGACCGACTCGATGCCCAGCCCAGCCACCGACTCGATTCCCAGCCCGGCGACCGACTCGATGCCCAGCGACCAACTCGATTCCCAGCCCCGACCAACTCGATTCCCAGCCCGCGACCAATTGATTCCCAGCCCAGCGACCGACTCGATTCCCACCCACGACCAACTCGCCCCCCAGCGACCAACTCGATTCCCAGCCCAGCGACCAACTCGATTCTTAGCCCCGGCCCTTTCTCGATGCCCATGACCAACTTTAATCCCAGCCCGCGACCGACTCGATGCCCCGTAGGGTTCAGCGACCGACTCGATTCCCAGCCCGGCCGACTCGATTCCCAAGCCCGCGACCGCACATGACCTTTAATGGCGACCAACCGTCTTCCCAGCCCGTAGGGTTCAACTCGATTCCAGCCCGGCGACCGCCCTTTCCATGCCCAGCGACCGACTCTAATGGCCAGCCCGGCGACCGACTCCATTAGTCCCAGCCCGGCGCCCCGCCTCCATTCCCAGCCCGCGACCGACCTCGATTAATGCCCCCCAACTCGATTCCCAGCCCGGGTTCCGACTCGATTCCCAGCCCGGCGACCCGACTCGATGCCCAGCGACCAACTCGATTCCCAGCCCGAAGCGACCGACTCCATTCCCAGCCCGGAGGGACCGACTCCATTCCCAGCCCGGCGACCGGACTCGATGCCCAGCGACCAACTCGATTCCCAGCCAGCGACCAACTCGATTCCCAGCCCAGCGACCTGATCGATTCCCAGCCTGGCTCGCGACCGTCTTAATGGCCCAGCCCAACTCGATCCCAGCCCGGCGACCGACTTCGATGCCCAGGGACCAACTCGATTCCCAGCCCTGCGACCGACTCGTTTCCCAGCCCAGCGACCGACCCCGATTCCCAGCCCGGCGACCGACTCCATTCCCAGGACGGGTGACCGCCTCGATTTCCAGCTCTGGCTCCGCCCTCTAGGGGCTTTATTGTCTATAAAAGTTTATTCTTGTGGCCCGGTGTCAGTCGTCGTAAGACTCATCTTTGGGGGTCAGAGGTCAGGGCTGGAGCATGCCTGGGAGGACTTCCAGTCTAAGAGTCCGTAGGGTTCAATATTGGGGCAGCCCACCCCTTTCCACACACATGACCCTTTAATGGCCCCCCAGTCTTAGTCCGTAGGGTTCAATATTGAGTTGGCCCCGCCCTTTCCACGCACATGACCTTTAATGGCCTCCCAGTTTTAGTCCGTAGGGTTCCAATATTGAGTTGGCCCCGCCCTTTCCACGCACATGACCTTTAATGGCCCCCCAGTCCCCGTAGGGTCCAATATTGAGTTGGCCCCGCCCTTTCCACGCACATGACCTTTAATGGCCCCCCAGTCTTAGTCCGTAGGGTTCAATATTGAGTTGGCCCCGCCCCTTTCCACACACATGACCTTTAATGGCCCCCCAGTCTCAGTCCGTAGGGTTCAATATTGGGTTGGCCCCGCCCCTTTCCACACACATGACCTTTAATGGCCCCCAGTTTCAGTCCGTAGGGTTCAATATTGAGTTGGCCCCGCCCTTTGCAGCTATAACAGCTTCAACTTCTGGGAAGGCACTTGTCCACAAGGTTTAGGAGGGATGTCTATGGAAGGTTGGACCATTCTTCCAGAAGCACATTTGTCAGGTCAGGCACTGATGTCGGGGGAGGGGCACTGATGTCGGGGGAGGGGGCCTGGCTCGCAGTCTTCTCCGCTCTAATTCATCCCAAAGGTGTTCTATGGGGTTGAGGGTCAGGACTCTGTGCAGGACAGTCAAGTTCCTCCACCCCAAACTGGCTCCTCCATGTCTTTATGGACCTTGCTTTGTGCACTGGGGGCAGTCATGTTGGGACAAGAAGGGGCCATCTCCAAACTACTCCTCCCACAAAGTTGGGGGCATGAAATTGTCCAAAATGGTGCCTTAAGAGTTCCCTTCACTGGAACTAGGGGGCCAAGCCCACACCCCTGAGGAACACCCCCACACCATAATCCCCCTCCACCAAACTTTACACTTGGCACAATGCAGTCAGGCAAGTACCGTTCTCCTGGCCACCACCAAACCCAGACATGTCCATCAGATGGCCATGACAGAGAAGCGTGATTGGTCCCCCAGAGTCCATGTGGGGCGTGCTTTACACCTGACGGCATCCGATGCTTTGCATTGCACTTGGTGATGTAAGGCTTGAATGCAGCTGCTCTAGAGTCCAGTGGCGGCGTGCTGGAACACGTCATCTGATCACTTTGATATTTGCATTGAGGGATGGAAGGCTTGGAATGCAGCTGCTCGGCCATGGGAAAACCCAATTCCATGAAGCTCTCTACGGGTTGTTTGGCTCATCTGAAAATGCCACACAATGATTGGAGGTCTTTAGCTAACACTCTGCAGATCAGTTGGCGACTTCTGCGCATGTGCGCTTCACATGCCTGAATCCGCCCTGTCATGTGACGTGGCCTACTTGGTGGGGAGTGGAACACCTGTTCCCATGGGCTTCCACTTTGTTATAATCCACACACAACTAACAGTTGGTGGAATATTTAGTAGCCAGGAAATGTCACGGATGGATTATTGGAGGGGTTGAACACCTATCAATCACGCTTGGAGGGGATTGGAGCTCCTGAGAGCGACCCATGAATCACAATGTTTGTAGAAACAGTCACATGCCTAGGGGAGGGGATTGTATACACCTGTTCACATGGGAGGGGATTGGAACACCTGAATCACATGATATGGAGGGGATTGGAACACCTGAATCACATGATTGGGAGGGGATTGGAACACCTGAATCACATGATTGGGAGGGGATTTGAACACCTGAATCACATGATTAGGAGGGGATTGGAACACCTGAATCACATGATATGGAGGGGATTGGAACACCTGAATCACATGATATGGGAGGGGATTGGAAACACCTGAATCACATGATTGGAGGGGATTGGAACACCTGAATCACATGATTATGGAGGGGATTGGAACACCTGAATCACATGATTAGGAGGGGATTGGAACACCTGAATCACATGATATGGAGGGGATTGGAACACCTGAATCACATGATTAGGAGGGGATTGGAACACCTGAATCACATGATATGGAGGGGATTGGAACACCTGAATCACATGATATGGAGGGGATTGGAACACCCGAATCATATGATATGGAGAGGATTGGAACGCCTGAATCACATGATTGGAGGGCGGGGACAATACTTCAGGCAATATGGTGTATATTGCACAGGTTCTCATATACATTGTATACAGGTCTGTCCATTCTCAGGCCTCTGATTGGCTCCCTGAGTGCCCTGTGATTGGCCTCAGTCCCCCCCCCCCCCCGTCACTGACCTCTGACCTGGCGGGTATGTTGAGGGGAGTGACAGCGCTCCTGGCCCCTCCAGTCTCACCAGTCCGGACTCGTCCTCTATCCCCCCCCCACTGCCCATTTCCCAGAATTCCTTTCATTGTTGAGTTCTGCGGATTCCTGGAATTCTCAGCGCAGGAAATCGCTCTCCAGATCGAAGGTGAATGATGAAGACGGATCCTGTCATTGTAGATCTTCTCCCTCCAACTCATGTATGGCCGGCTATTCCATTCCTTCCAGAACCAGAAATTCCGATCAATCATTACATCACCATAGAGGGAGCAGAACTTAGCACAGGGATGGTGGGAACCCCTCATAATGGGCACAGGGATGGCGGGAACCCCTCATAATGGGCACAGGGATGGTGGGAACCCCTCAGAATGGGCACAGGGATGGTATAAACCCCTCATAATGGGCACAGGGATGGTGGGAACCCCTCATAACATGGGCACAGGGATGGTGGGAACCCCTCAGAATGGGCACAGGGATGGTATAAACCCCTCATAATGGGCACAGGGATGGTGGGAACCCCTCATAATGGGCACAGGGATGGTGGGAACCCCTCATAATGGGCACAGGGATGGTGGGAACCCCTCAGAATGGGCACAGGGATGGTATAAACCCCTCATAATGGGCACAGGGATGGTGGGAACCCCTCATAATGGGCACAGGGATGGTGGGAACCCCTCAGAATGGGCACAGGGATGGTGGGAACCCCTCATAATGGGTACAGGGATGGTGGGAACCCCTCATAATGGGCACAGGGATGGTGGGAACCCCTCATAATGGGTAACCCCTCATAATGGGTACAGGGATGGAGGGAACCCCTCATAATGGGCACAGCGGGTCATCCTTGGCCCCTGTTATGGGAGGGATTGGAATGAAGGGGTTAATCCCGTGCGGTTCTGGTGCTCGATGGATGACTCAAGTTCTGAGAGATGACTAATCCGACTCTCAGGTTGGCACGGATCCTCCAGCCGGCACACAGACCTAATGTGGGGCCTTTCTTCTCACTGCTGCAGAGCCATGTACACGGGATGGCTGTGTACATGGGATGGTCATGTACACGGGATGGTCGTGTACACGGGATGGCTCTGCACACGGGATGGCTGTGTACATGGGATGGTCATGTACACGGGATGGTCGTGTACACGGGATGGCTCTGCACACGGGATGGCTGTGTACATGGGATGGTCATGTACACGGGGATGGCTGTGTACACGAGGATGGCCCTGTACACGGGATGGTCATGTCACGGCAGATTTATCCTCCTTGCTGTTGGCGGTTGGGCACGTGTTCGGAACATGACAGCCGCACGTCTCTGAGATTTATGACACATTTCATGTTTGGGAATGTGAAATATTCTGAGGAGAAGGCGGCTCTTCCTGCACCACCTGCACTGCGGAGGCTCCAGTGGTTGGATGCTGTAGGCCATGCTTGGTGGATGGGCAGTCAGGTTGGGGATTGCCAGGTCAGAGTGGATTGGTGGATGGGAGGTCAGGTTGGGGATTGCCAGGTCAGAGCGGATTGGTGGATGGGCAGTCAGGTTGGGGATTGCCAGGTCAGAGCGGATTGGTGGATGGGAGGTCAGGTTGGGGATTGCCAGGTCAGAGCGGATTGGTGGATGGGGAGGTCAGGTTGGGGATTGCCAGGTCAGAGCGGATTGGTGGATGGGAGGTCAGGTTGGGGATTGCCAGGTCAGAGCGGATTGGTGGATGGGAGGTCAGGTTGGGGATTGCCAGGTCAGAGCGGATTGGTGGATGGGAGGTCAGGTTGGGGATTGCCAGGTCAGAGCGGATTGGTGGATGGGAGGTCAGGTTGGGGATTGCCAGGTCAGAGCGGATTGGTGGATGGGCAGGACTCTCCTTGAGTTTTAATATGACTAAAAGTATGTGAACCCCCCTCCAAATGACTGACTTGTGTGTCTCCAGTAACGGGTCCTGGTGATCCTCCATCATACAAAGACATTGGAGACCTTCTCTCCTCCAGCCTTGTGGTAACAGTTTGGTGAAGACCCTTTTCTGTCCCCCCATGACTGTCCCCTGTGTACAAAGCCAGCTCCATAAAGACATGGAGGACCAGTCTGGTGTGGAGGAGGAACTTGTGTCCTGTACAGAGCCCCGACCTCCACCTACTGAATGCCTTTGGATGGAATTGGAACACGGATGGTGGACCAGGTCTCCTCATCCAACATCAGTACCTGACCTTACAAATGGGCACAAATTCCCATAGAGATCTCCAACATCTTGTGGAAAGTCTACCCAGAAGAATGAAGGACGTCATAGAGGGGGGATACTCCATATATATGGCCATGCGGGGGGCGGGGAGTGCAAATCCATATCGATGGCCATGACTTTGGAGGGGATCTAGGTTTGATGATAAGGAGCCCACAGAGGTTTGTCCATATGGCATATTAATGCATGACTGTTCCCCAGCTCCACAAAGACATGGTTTGGCCAGTTTGGTGTGGAGGAACTTGAGTGTCTTCCACAGAGCCTTGACCTCAACCCTGCTGAACACCTTTGGGATGAATAGGACTGCTGATGGTGAGCCAGGTCATGAATACCTGACCTCATAAATGGGACAAATTCCCACAGACACCCTCCAAAATCTTCTGGAAAGTCTTCCCAGAAGAGTGGAGGATGTACTGGCCTTCAAAGTGGAATAACTCCATATTAATGGTCATCGTGATGGAGGTGGGGGGACAACTTCATATTAATGACCATCGGGGGAGGAGGGGGGAAACCACATACTAATAGCCAAGAAAGGAGGGCCAACTCCATATTAAAGGCCATGATTGTGTTTATGTGTAGGTGGGGGGGGGGGGGAAATTCCATAGTAATGGCCATGGGGAAGGGCCAACTCCATATTAATGGCTATGATGTGTTTGTGTGTGTGCGGGGAGGAGGGGGTGTGGTGGGGGGGGGGGGATTCCATAGTAATGGCCATGGGGAAGGGCCAACTCCATATTAATGGCCATGATGTGTGTGTGGGGGGGGGGGGGGGGGGGAAGGAAGGTCATGATGGGGGGTGATTCCGTGGCCATGGGGAAGGGCCAACTCCATATTAATGGCCATGACGTGTGTGTGTGGGGGGCGTGATGGGGGGGGGGGTGATTCCATGGCCATGGGGAAGGGCCAACTCCATATTAATGGCCATGACGTGTGTGTGGGGGGGCGTGGGGGGGGGTGGAGGTGATTCCATGGCCAAGGGGAAGGGCCAACTCCAAATTATTGGCCATGACGTGAGTGTGGGGGGCGTGATGGGGGGGTGGAGGTGATTCCATGGCCATGGGGAAGGGCCAACTCCATATTAATGGCCATGACGTGTGTGTGGGGGGGCGTGATGGGGGGGTGGAGGTGATTCCATGGCCAAGGGGAAGGGCCAACTCCAAATTATTGGCCATGGTTCTAGAATGGGAAGTCTCATTCATATACAAGCGATGGCCACGTCCACACAGACTTTTGGTGTACATGCTCCAGTTCTCTTGGCCATTTAGACCATTGCTGGTTCTGAGTTGGGCAGATGAATGGCGGCTCAGCAGTCAGATATTTTTTTTCATATACATTTTCCACGTTGTTACTAGCCAAGGCCTGGCAGGTCCCGGGATCCAGGTAGCCAATTGTTCCGACATTTCCGAACTTTTTCTGTTGCTGGTGGAAACCAATGTTCTTCGGCGCCTTTGCTGGATCTTGAAGCTTCTGCTCATGTGTTGTTCCTTGTGATACATTCCTCAGAGACGTACAGGTATGAGTACAAGCCCAGTACACCTCGCCCGTCTCGGGCCGCATAGTTGGCCCAATATTTCAAACCGTTACTTAGGCTTTCTTTCAGCATCCATCTACAAGACACTTTAACTCTCAATGTCCTGCAGGTTTTTAGGAAGACAGCAGGAGATTGGTGCTCCTCGGTTTAATCTCGTTTACTTTTCCAGTTGTCTAATAGCAGCATTGTGCAATCGGTTACGGGTCCTGGCAGAGGAATCTGTCCGGTGTGTGGGGTCCAGTGCTGTTCTAGAGTGCTAAGACCCCATGTAGCCCCGGATTTCTGATTCATGAACTATGGACTGGTACTGAGCCCTTCAGGCCTAGCAGGCACTGGACTGTACATCATGACGTAAGATTGGACACTTGCCCAATCCCGGTATCTCTGGCGTCTCTTGTCTTAAACGACCTCTCTGTGTGTGGTACTAACAGTAATTAGTAAGACAAACACGAGCGGTGATGGCAGACGGCCTTTATGAGTTGGTGTGATCCTCTGCTGATCTCCATGTGAAGCCCATGTGGGTGGGTGATGCTCAGCAGGTCGAGGTGAGGTCACGTAGCCCAGCTTGAAGTTTACAGATATACGTTATATTTATATGGTGATGTTAGTTATTGAGTGTGTGTGATCAGGGGGGACTGACAACTCATGGGGCCCCCGGGCAATAGGGGATCATGGGGCCCCTGTGTCCTTGCCCAAACTCAAAAAAGCCTATGAAAAAGCTACCAGGGGCATCTCATGGGGCCCCCTACTGACCCCGGGCCCTCGGGCAGTGCCTGAGTTTCCAAATGGTCAGTCCGCCCCTGTGTGTGATCCGGTACATGGGGTCCTCTGACCATTGACTTTGGAAGCCCAGTTCGGGATCTTCTTGACATTGGAATCCACCAAGGACTCCTGGAATGGTTCCACAGAATTTTTCAGCAATATAATAAAGATCAGATTGGATGACGAGACCATCGTGGCCTCTGATATGTGCCGTATTGTACGGCTGAACATTGATCACCGTCCGTGAAACATTCCAGTGGGT